CAAAATAATAAATATTATTGTTTAACTTTAAAATAATATACAATTGTCACTTTCCACAATTTTTCAACTTTAGCATAATTTATTTAAAATTTGAAATAATATATTTTAACAAAGTATGAGTGAGACAAGATAGAGAAAGATAAGTATTATTTAAGTATTATTTATTTACAATATTTGTATATTCTAATTTTTTATTATCCTTAGTTATAAACAAAATTTAAAATGACAACTATTCTATAACGAGTGAAATAACCATATAATCATACATTAAAATAATATATATCATAAAATAAAAGAAAAATAATTATTGATATTTAAAGCTATTTTTAAACAAAACAATATTCATGCATTACTTTAATACAAATAAAATTTATAGTTATTGCCTCGTGTGAAATATTCTTTCATTGTTTTAATTCAAATAATTTATAATTATTGTTCCGTGCATCGCACAGATGTTTATTGTGTTTTTGTCGTTATTTTTGTGTGTTTTGTGTGTTTTATTTTATTAGTTTTAGGTTCGTTTTAGTGTCGACCGGTTTATTTTATCGTGTTTTGTGTATTTTTGTTATTCTATAGTGTTTTCGTATTTTTGCGCGTTTTCTCTTTTGTTTTGGTGTTGAATAGGTCCAATGTGTCGAGAACGAGGAGACGAGCTGTCCGAGCCGACCGAGCCGTCCAACCCGGAAAATCCGACCAAGTCATACTGGGACGAAGAGAATTCAATGATGAGAATTTTGGTCCAAATTTCATGCAAATCGGAGTTGTGTGGGAGAAGTTAGGGCGAATCGAAGATCAACGGGCCATGACCGCAGCACACCCGCGAGCTCGCAGAAATCATGGCGAGCTCGAGAGTGTTGGTGCCCAAGCGCCCAGCGCACGCCGCGAGCTCGCGGAAAGCATGGCGAGCTCGAGAGTGTTGTTGCCCAAGTGCCCAACACATGCCGCGTGCTCGTGGAAAGCACGGCGACCTCGAGAGTGTCGCGGTACCATTGCCCACGACGCGCGCGACCACGCGGAAGACATGGCGACGTCGAGAGTGCCGCGCCCACGTGCATCCTTGCGGCGAGCTCGCGAATTCTTTGGCGACCTCGAGAGTGTCCTATTAAATGTGCGTGTTTTTAGTGTGTTTTTGTGGTGTAGCTATATAAAGACATTTTACTTTGTATTTTTAAAGACATCTCTCATTTCTCAACTTTTAAGTTGGGAAATCCTCTCCATTTTCTCTATTTTTTCTTTTTATGCTTTGGTTAGGAGCTTTATTACTCTAACTTTCCGGCAAGTTTCCGGCGACATTATTTTATTACAAGTTTCGAACTTTTCCATCCAGTGTTCTTCACGCATGCATTACGAGAGTGGGTAATTAGCTTTAATCCTCATTACTTCGAATCTGCCCTCTTTTGCTTATGATGTGTTTCAAGGTGAATGTGGTTTTGCTTGTTGATCGGATGAATGTTTGATTCTTGTAGCTCGTCGACGTGTGTTAGGGATTAGTTTGTGCTTATCTTGTTTAAAGATTGCGACTTTGTTTAAAAGTGTAGTCATTTAGTAGAAAGCTCGATTTAATGGCCTAGGATCACTTGGCAATGTTGATGTCCCTCGGTTCTTTTTGTGTTGGTTTGAGTGATAGAGACCCCGGTTGACCTAAAGCTCTCATCTTTGTTTTTAAGTTTTCATTTGCTTTCGATTTCCTATTGCGAGTAGTGATTAATTCAAACCATCAAATTGCGAGTAGAATGTTTAGGACCTTTTCGGTTGTGTGATTTTGACGACTAGATAGTGAACGAAGCTCCGAAAAGTCTTCCTTTGAGAACGACCCGAGTCGGGTAGCTCGGTTATCCCTTGCCCATCAAATCTATACTAAACAACGGACTACATACTAGATTTATTGGAAGTGAGCAGTGTTCTTTTCGTCTTAGAGAACATATTTATAGCGTGGGAATTGTGAATGCGACAACAAGTAACACACACCCAACGAGTTTGTGAAAAATTTCGAAGACAAAGAACGAGACTTGAGAATCGATCTACTCATTATTCTCCCGAGCCTGTGTTATTGATTGTTTATTCATTCATCATTCTCTTGGAGTATTTTGGTTCATTGTCTTGATAGTCTTTTTTGATACTCATTCGATATAGACTGCTTTTTTATATGTTTTAGTTCTTTCACTAGTTGTGTTTGGTTTGTATGAAAAACTTTGTGATTGGTTTGTTCTAGTGTAATTTTGGCATCTTGCCTTAGTCTACAAGTGATTTTCAGTTGTAGACTAAATCCTTAATCTTTGGTGTTTACTTATTTCTATTGCACATTTAAATTTTTTACCTCTGTGTGAAAATCCAGAATTCTCGGTTCATAAAATTCTAACAACATAGCTCTTGGTTCGATGATCAATCTGATTTTGAAATTCTAACAATAGAGTAATGCTCCCCTACCACGGTGGGCACATGTTAATATGTCCACCGCTTATGTGGCATGCACACATTGATGATTTTAATATGTTCAAAAAATATATCACCAATGTGTGCATGTCACATAAACGGTTGACATATTAACATGTGCCCACCGTGTGTAGGTGAGCATTATTGTCTAACAATATAGCTCTTGGTTCGATGATCAGTCCGATTTTGAGACTCTCTCTCTCTCTCT